ATCTGTTTTAATTTATGATGTTTGACTAGAGTTATTTTCAATTCAATTGATTTGAGAATTGGGAAATAATTTTAAAGTATAATTTATTTATAACCAAATTATATCAAAAGGTCTACAAAATATGACGTGACATGATTATATTATTTTATCAAACAAGTAATAAAAGTAGGATAGAAATTGAGTAAAATTTGAGAATTGAGACGGATGGAGTATAAAAAGAAAAACGGAAATAAGGTTAATGAAGCAAAGAGGAAAAAATTATAAAGATATAAAAGCAAATCATTACTTGGAGAATTGAAAAGAAATAGAGAATATTAACAGAAGAAAATATTGTTTGGACACTATAATATTTTGACCTAATTAGTATCACACTCATGCGTTGCATGATTAATATTTACGTTATGAAATTATATTGGTGTCATTATTGAAGAATAGAAATTGATTACATGATGATATAAAGTTGTAAAGCATGAATATGAAATGAATAACAAATTTTCAAAAATCTACTTTATAAACTACATTGGTATTCTTGAATCATTAATTGCAAAATTATGTTTTTTGTTAAACGCAAAACAGTGCAATGTGTCCAAATTAGGAAGAATTAATCATTGAATTACAATATCTTGTCTAGTTCTTTTTGGAATTACTGACAATATCTGATGAAAAACTCCATCAAAGACAATTTTTTTCCCTCTAAATGTTTGGTTTTTACTCATTGGATAAATTATAGAATATCGCGCAAACTTCTATCTAAAACTTCAAAGCAATATTTATGTGTCGTTTGTTGGGTCGTCCTAAATAATTAACTTTGCCTTTTTTAAGAGTTCTGCTACGGGAGTTCTTTGTTTTATGTTGCAAGTTGAGTTTTCATCCGGGTTTAACGAATTTTAAAACATGAATGAGTTGTTCTTCCACCTGGCAAAATGTATTAAAGTTATTCCACTTGATACAACATTCAATACTATATCGCTTCTACATAATATTACAACAGATAAAGTTCTCATACATACATCTTGCCAGCTCCTTCGTACTTGTAAAGGGAGAAAATTTTAGCTGCATTTGTATCAACGGAATACATTATAGCGTTATACGTTGCAAGTTGTTCAATTCGTCATTTAACGTACCCAAAAGATCGATATGCTCACTTGCCAAGGTTACGCAATCGTTATAATGTGTATGTGTATATATATGTATATTTATCTGTGCAAACATGCAAGTCCTAAGCTATAAAATTAGAATCGCAAATTCTAAATTCTTGGATGAATTTATTTCTTTTTCTAATATTTATTAATCATCGTATTAATAGGGATACGATTAGCCTAATTCTAAATAATCACTCTAGAGAAATCAAGGCTTTCTTTTGCTTTTCATCCCTTTTTAAAATACTTTTATGAATTTTAAATTAAAGTTTACACTCCCTTCCTCCACATTTCATTCTCGAGTTCATTTTTCAAATTTAAAGTTTGACCAACAATATCTCTTAAAATATATTAGCGAAAAATATTAAAAATAATGCATTTAAAGTATCTTTCGATACTAATAATTTGGTATTAACTCCGTCCCAAAGTATTCATCTAGTTTGACTTTTTCGAGTCTAACTAGATGAACTTTGAGTCTTAGTTAAGTAAAAACTATCATTAATATTAGTATAAAAATGATTTTAATGTATTTAACTTGCTTAAATATTTCAAAACTTTATTCCATTGAATTAATATGCAATACAAATTGAGAGTAATTGATGATTAAAAGTTGTACAGTTTAACTCAAAAAAGTCAAACTTGATGAATACTCTGGGACACAGGGAGTATAATTTTTATATTTTAATATATATATATATATATATATTAAAATCAAATATTTGACATGCAAAGTGAAATGGACAGTTAAATATGATATGGAAGGAGCATCTAAAATTAACTATAGTTGTAGTAATAAAATTTTAGTTATTAATACTCCACATTTTATTATCAATTAAACACTTTTTTGTAATAATAATAAAAAATATTATTATTATTATTATTATTATTATTATTAAGACCCCACTTCATATTCTTATCCCATTCACTATTTTTTATTTTTTTAAATTTGAAAAAATTGGTTGCATATTAATGTTAGAAATTGTGTTGAACTTTGAATTTAATACTTCGTAAATCTATTTCTCCTTGAGCATTAAAATATTATCTTTAGCACAGTGGAACATGCATTGCTAATGTTGGGAAAAAAGTAACACCATTTATTTTATAATCTTAAAAATTAAATTTTCTCTGTTTACTTATACGCATAATAAGGAATATTATAATATAAGTTACGATTTATATATTATTATTGTGGTACAAAAATATTACCACTTATATACTATTTATTTATGTTAAGTAATAAGGAATATTATTTTAACTTTAATATTACCTCATTTTCATTATACGTATAATAATAAAATGCATCTATATATCACCATAAAATACACACTTACCATAAATAATCCAAAGTCAATGGGCGAGAAAATGAGGTTAATATTTTCCCTACTTTTAAATAAAATATTGATATTGATAGAATTCCGATTTAAGACTGGAAAATTCTGAAATTTTATTGATCTTAATTTATGGACTTAAACGTGCTGGTTATAATACAGTCAAACCCAAAACCTATTACTTTGATCTGAATCAGTTTGGTTTATTGATCTTACTCGAAATTTGTATATTTCTAATATCACATTGTTTCAAAATAATAAACAATATAGAGTATTAAATGATTTTAGTCGTGAAATCAAGCTGGTTGAATAATGACAGTATAGTACATGCTTTATGAAAATATATGACAAACCTAGCTCGCTATTTTCTCCAACAATTGCTACCAATGATATTAAAACCAGACAAGTCGGTTGAATCTGAAATGAAACACCACTTGATCTTATATAATTTAAATGTCTTCTTATATTTTTATTTTTTATTGTGTTCCCTACCATATTTTTTGTGCAGGTTGAGCCGGGGGTCTCTTGAAAACAGCCTCCCTACTTCCGAGTAGGGGCAAGGTCTGCATACATACACCCTCCCCAGACCCTACTGTAGTGGGATTTAACTGGGTTGTTGTTGTTGTGTATTTTTATTTTTGAGCCAATTGTGTGATGTACTGGTGGAGACATTCATGCAGTGGCTTAGAGCATGTAATGTCTTGCGTTGGTGCTGTGAAATGTCACTCAGGTTTGACAAGTCTACGACAATACCTTTCTGGCTTGAATTGTCGTGCCACTGCATTGAACATTTACAGCTTAGCCTCTTACCATTTTAGATTTGGCCATTCTCCATAGCTCTCGAACCCTACAATTTGAAATGTTGAAGTCAGTAGCGATTACCTTAATTGACCCTTGTAGAAGTTTGCCATTATTGTATTTTTGTAAAATTGCATCAATGGTTTTTTCGTTCATCTCTTTCTTGTACACCACATATATAGTATGAATTATTTGTTTCAGGGATATTAATTGAATGCTTCGAAAGGAACATCTACGAGTGGGGCAAGAGTTTAACAATGGAATCAACATCGGTAGCGAAATCAACATCGGATGTAGAGAAGACATGGGTTGCCATTAATGGCAAAGAAAGGAATTGATTTACATCATTTATTGAGATCTCTTTCTTGGTAGATGGATTGTGTTTAATGTTGGATTTTCTTGTTGAGTGATGCTAGAGTCACAAACAAACAGTTCACAAAATTCACAAACTTGCCTTTTTAGCACTTTCTTAGAAATAAGATGCACTCAAATATTAAAAAATATTTTAATTTAAATTCCACAAAAGGCAAGTTTGTGAAGTTTGTGAACTTTAAGTTTGTGACTCTAGCATTTTCCTTTCTTGTTATACTTTTTGAAGTAGTGTTGGCTCTTGATTAAATTATTTGAAGGTAATTTTAAATTTTTCCCAAACAAACAAAATTTGTACTCTCCCACACTTTTGAACTCCTCCAATGTGGAAATGAGGAGCATGGGCACGTTTATTATCTCCACTATTCATGATGATGTGTTTTGATGTGATTGCTTCATACACACTAGAATTTAATCATTCTTAATTTTGGCTTTGGTCAAAATAAGAAGTGTTTTGCCAAACGGAAGGACTAGTATTGAATGATCTTAGTCATAAAATCAAATCAATTAAATCGTAATTGTGTAGTACGGAGTACATATTTATGAAAACATATGATAAACTTTGCCCACTGATATATCCAACAGTTACTACTACATGTTATTAAGTACGCATTTTCTGTGTGCTTATAAGCTGACTCATAAATTGCTTATAAGTTTGAAAAAATAAATAACTCTTTGCTACTTATTTTTAAGCTCGTTTTTTTGTTTTTCACTTGATCGGATTATTTACAAAACTGTTTATTGTCGTATATAAGTATTTACAAATTATTTATCTATCATTTAATATTTACTCCTACGTTAAAAACTAACCAATAAACCAATAAGTACCCATGATAGAATTTAGGATGTGTATGGACAACTGGATTGGATAATAAGACACTTGAGTTGAACCACATGAAAAAGATTGAATTCAATCGATTAATTAGTTCAACTCAAGGGCTTATATACCGATTATTTTGCTCTTGAACTTCTAATATGAGATGACAATCTAACACTCCCCCTCAATTGGACAACCAGGCCATTTTGAATCTAACCGGTTGACCAATTGCAAATGAATTCTCATTTCCTTGATTTTTTTTGGCCAAAACCTGCTCTGATACCATGATAGAATTTAGGATGAGTATGGACAACGGAATTGGGTAATAAGACATTTGGGTTAAACCGCATGAAAAAGATTGAATCCAATCGATTAGTTAGTTCAACTCGAAAACTTATATGCCGATTATTTGACTCTTGTACTTTCGATATGAGATGACACTTTAACCATGTAGTCTACCCATATCGGACAAGATGAAACTGAAATCACCAATCGGTTCTTAAATTCAGAATAACCCGAAATACGGAGTACCTGAGAAAAATCGTGACCCGCAGCGAAGCCGGTTAACCGGTTCGGGTTTACAAACGTTCTTGCTACCCGACTGCCCGTACCATCATTTCACAAATTTCGGTTTTTTCACTGTATCCGCCGGAAGGGTTTTGGATTTTGGTTTTGAAAAGGGGAGAGTGGAAAGTAGGATTTGTCTCTGCTACGGTTTCGCTGAATCCCATCAATGGCCGACGGTTCAGAAGTCACCGGCCCTCCCGTCAAGCTGGATTGTAAGCCTTCCAATGAGACCATTGTCGAACTATCCGGCCAGGGCGGCACAGAGTCTACCGGCAACAACGCCGCTGCGACCTCGGCCGAGCGCGACGATGAACTGAAGATATCGGACGAGCTGATGGTGAAAGGAGATGAGGCTGCCGCAGGAAAAGATTATTCTGAGGCTACTGATTGCTACAGCCGCGCTCTAGAAATCAGGTTAGGGGCGTTGCTTGATTCCATTTCCTCTCTTCTCGTGACTTTTGCTTCGTTTTAACATCTCTGTTATGAATATGTTTGTGAATTGATTTACTTTTCAGCACTTGTTGGTTGCCATTTTGGCTGTAATGATCTTTAAGATCCTTAACTAATCATAACAGCAGAGTTAAACAGTGTTCAGGTGGTTCGACATAAGTTATTCCATCAGAATTGAGGTGATTGTTCAATAGGAAGTGTGTTTTTCTTCCCATCTTGCAACTATCATCCTCCAATTAAAATTATTGTTTTCATGAATTAGTTAATTTAGAGTTTGAAAGAAAAACTGAGCGGAGTTGAGTTTAATCATTTATCAAGGAGGCCTTTTAGAGCACTTTGGATTTATTGTTTCTCATTCTGTATGGTTCTCATATCTCACCTAAGTTTGATTGCATGAACTTTTTACTCAGGGCTACTCTATTTGGTGAGCTTGATCCTCGATGTGTGAATGCATACTATAAATATGGATGTGCATTGTTGCGCAAAGCTCAAGAGGAAGCTGACCCTTTGGTCTCTGTGCCTAAAAGGAAGGGAGACTCCCTACTAAATTCTTGTAAAGATGAACCTGCCAAGAGGGTTGTAAGTGCTGAATCTTCTGCTGCCTCTGTAGAAAGCTCCAATGGTGAAGGCGAGGCTTCAGTGCATAATGAAAAGGAAATCAATAATGGTTAGTATCTTGACCGTTTTATGAGGTTATACCTATTTGTTTGTATTTAGCTTCCTAAACAGATTATGATTCTTTGATAACAGATTGATGATGTGTATACCATTCTTGAAAATGATAAGCTAGTAACTTTCCTTTATCTTTTGTTTGCATAGTGTAACAGTAGGTCTTAGAATTCCTGTCGTATGCTTGTCATTCATCTGATTAATCAGTTAAAACAGGATTAATACTCATTTTGGTCCCTCTAAGTGTACTCACGACTCAAATTGGTCCCCGTAAGTTCATTTGAGTCAAACTAGTCCCTATATGTAGAAAATGTGAATCAAGTTAGTCCTTCAAATGAAATTTATCTCTTAAAATTCTGAGTTATGACATTAATTGATGCAAGAGCAATGGCCCCGTGTATTAGTCTTTGTGTCTTAACGTGTTAACTTACAATTTTAGAAGATAAATTTTGCATATAGTACTAATTTGATTTATATTTCTTAGTTATAGGGACTAATTTGACTAAACTGGACTTACAGGGACTAAATTGACTCGTGAGTGCACTTACAAGGACTAAAACAAATATTAACTCATTAATACAGTTTACAATTTAAACATGTGCTCTTTTTATTCCTAACAAGAGGGTGGCAGTACTACACAATAGTCTCTGTCTGCTACTCCCTGTGGCTACTGGTTATGACATGGGTGATGACATGGTATTCATAGAAGCAGCTAATACTGGCATCATGAACTTAATTACTCCATATTTATTTCATAGATGGACATAACACTAGAGCTGTGGGGAAAGGAAAAGAAGAAATAAGATTACCAATGAGGTACCTTCATTTTTTAATTTTTAGAGTTTTATTTAAAATTAGATTCAAAGCTGAAAGATATTGAAGAAAATGAAGAGGAAGATGAAAGTGAAGATGAGGACACCTCTGAAGGAGATGAAGATGAATCTGACTTGGATCTGGCGTGGAAAATGCTGGATATTGCAAGGGCTATAGTCGAAAAATGCTCGGAGGACACTATGGAGAAAGTGGACATATTGACAGCTTTAGCAGAGGTTGCTCTGGAAAGGGGTATGTAAACATTATTGCAGATAAGATTTCAAATTTTACTACCCCATACTACTTTACTAGGATATGGTCTTTTTGTCTGTTACATATATCCTGCTTAGTCCTGTGATTCTTTTTTTACATTCATGCAGAGGATATGGAAACATCATGTAGTGATTACCTGAAGGCATTATCAATTTTGGAACGTTTAGTGGAACCTGACAGTCGCCGTATTTGTGAACTGTATCCTTTTTTTGAAATGAGAAATTTTCTAACTAAGGATTTGCTGAACTTAATGGGCTCTTTATCAGTTCATGCAGTATTACTTGATCATGAGGATTTGGTTAGCATATGTTTCTGAGTTGACTTTTGGATTCTATTCAATTTTCATTTCTTAAAAATATATTTTCGAAAGCTCATTTCTTAAATATATTACTTTAACTTTATTATTTTTTTCAAATTAAAAGATGTATAAAAATACTAAAAATAACCCACCACCCCCGCCAAGATCCAACTACTTAATATACCTTTAGTGAGTAGTTGTTGTAAAGACTTAAAAATCTGGTGTTATGTTGATGCATTTGAGAAGTAAAATTCTTAGCTAAAGAGCAGAAACTTCATGATATGCTTGTGTTTGGAAACTGGCTCTAAGCCTGAGGAGGCAATCTCATATTGTGAGAAAGCTATTTCAGTTTGCAAGTCACGGTTGGAACGATTAGCTGAGGAGGTAAAGACTTCATTGGTCCCGACAGAATCCTCATTGGATCTTTCTGTCACAAAGTCGAGCACTATTCCACACTCGACTGACAATACAGACAAAGAAATCGAAACATTGACTGATCTGTGTAGTGAGCTTGAAAAGAAGGCAAGTGTGACTAATCTTTATCAACTGTATAAAAGTACCCATTTGATCTGGCTTATTTGGCTTCTCTTTTTTTCCCACCAACCTTTTTAAATATTTATGGGTTAATTTTTATTTGTTGAAAGGACCAAGAGAAAAAAGAAAATGACATTTCTACCTTCATTTCTACACTCCATATTATTTTCTAAAATTTGTTTGAGGGATATATTTTAAATGATTTTCTTTGCTGTTTGAGCCGGGGGTCTCTTGGAAACAGTCTCTCTACTCTTGAGTAGGGGTAAAGTCTGCGTACACACACCCTCCCTAGACCCTACTCTCGTGGGATCCAACTGGGTTATTGTTGTTGTTGGTTGAGCAGATTTAGCCAAGTCAGCTAAAAGTTCAGCCTATTCAACCATTTTACGTCTTGGCACTACATTAGTGTCCCAATTATTTGTTTTGATTCCTGCTTAAATATCTCATTTGATCAATATACAGCGTGAAGAACTCAAGCATGCAGTTGCAAATCCAACTCCTGTTCTCCAAGATATCCTGGCAATGTATTCTGCCAAGACAAAAGGTTCCGACAAAATCTCTACTTCAGTTGCAATGGATCCCTCACAAGTGGCTACTGTGAATAGTGGCGGGGGTTTGGACTCTCCAACTGTTTCCACTGCACACACGAATGGCTCATCCAGAGTTACCGATCTTGGGGTCGTGGGAAGAGGGGTGAAGCGAGTGCATCTAGACTCCATTGCATCAGAGACAAAGCCTGAGAAAAAGCCTTCTCTAGATCCTCCCAATTGATGGCCAATAACAGAGAAAAGGCCTTGCCTATGGGACACTGGTGAGCTTGACTTAGTAATTCATATGGGGAAATTACTGTGCTTGCATACTTGTTTTTTACACTGAATGGGTCAGTGAATTTGTAGTTCTGTGTGTGCAATGTGTTAAGATGCTTCACATGATACTAAACATTTGATGGCATCTTGGCCTGCTTCTGTATTGACGCCATATTTTGAAGTTTTTTGGTTTGCTGATGCATTTTGCGGACCGTAAATTATGTGCAACGTTATGGCGTGATTAATTGTTTCTTTTAGGCTCTCCGGGTTATATGTCGCCTGTGTTGCTCCCAAGCTACTCTCCTAAGGTTGCTGTTTTTTAAGAAACCGTGACTTTTCTAGGCATTTTAGCATCAAAGTCCTGCTATAGTTTTTTTTCTAAGTAAATTTCATAACTAGTTCTTTGTAACAAGAGGTTCTTTATGGATATCTTTTCATAAATATTCTTTTTTTATCTTCTTGTTATATACAATTACAAAGGCTGCTCCTAATGCTTCATTTTTGCATTGCAGATGCTTTTTGTTACAACTATAGTCTATAAATGTGGTCTTTTGTCAGAATCGTAGTCTACAGTCATGGTTATTATTGTTGTATTGCTTGTTTAACCAACATTAGAATAAGTCATTAGACATAAAGTTTATGTCAATTTATACTTTTAGCTCTTAAATGAACATCAACATGGCAGAAGGACAAGACAAGGACTTTCCGTCCCAAAATAAATTGTCTGCTAGTTGTTTTCGTAAACTATTAAAAATAAAATACCTAAACTACCATTAAAATAAGTCATTCTTTTTCACATTATCTTCTCATTCATCATTACCCCTCTTAAAAAATAATGTCAATTTTGAAAAATCAACTCTATTTTTTATTTTCCTTAAATATGCCCAAAAGTCAAAACGGACGATATAAATTGGGACGGAGGGAGTACTTTTTTTAATAGGTTTCTCACTATTTATATTGTCTCTCTCGGGTTGGAGATTTTGCCTCTTGTCGGTCAGAATGGTGTGTGCATGCACAAGTTTGGGGCGTTATGTGATGGGATGCGGCCCGAGGAGGAAGAGAATGGATATTGATTGGTCTTTGAAGGGGGTTGGTTTGGCAAAGGCTTAAGAAGGTTGGTCTTCAGGAAATCAAGGTTAATCATGATCCCTTCATTCCACCATCTCCTTAAAAATGAGGCTTGATGGAGGCCAATGAGAGATAATCGTTGGGTGCAATGAATACTAGTGTCTAGAAATATTTGACTCGGAGAATCCGTCTACGATACGAGATGACCTGCTTCGAAAAATAGATATCCGATCTCGTGTTTTAGTTTTTGGATATTTTGAATCGGATATTCGAAAAAACTAGATTGGATATGAAATGAAAGATTAAGATTTCCGATACCCACGGATATTTGGAGCTCATATTTTAAAAAAATAAATATAAAACTAACTCACACAATTGAATCCAATTTATTTTTATCGCCATATATCTCTAAATCTATGCTCATTTCAAGTTCTTAACCGGTAATCCGGTAGTCATCTTCCTCTATTCTTTATTTGTTCATTATTATGTGGATATTCTTTTTCTATGCATTTATAAAATTATAACTTATGTTAAAACAATCAATATAAATATGATGATTAAAATATACTTGACTTTAAATTCTAGTCAAATTTTTGAACTCCACTATTTTAGTGAATAAAAATTCATCCCAAATAACTTTTTAGAGTCTTTGGAAAATATACAAATTCAAAATATACAAATAAAATTGATAAAGGATATTCCCCAGATCCGATCAAAATTTTGGATATCGGGAATTCGAATATCTAAACATGTTTTAATCAGACATAAAATAGATTTTAGCATTTTGCCAATTTAAAACTTTTGGATCGAATCATATAGTATATCCTAATGAACAGCCCTAGTAAATATCAGCTACCAATGGTGAGTGAATAAACCCTAATAAAAATAAGTTGAGGATTTCATTGATTTTTGATCTTAATTGTGCAATAGATATTCAATATGGAGTGATGCTTACATGATCCCAAGGTTCAAATTTAAAATGTGGATTTTCTCACATTTTTCATGGGCTAAAATGTAGATTTTTTTTCAAAAGACTCATTTCTTTTATAATACAAATGCACTAAGATCCATAAAATGAGTATGAACCTTTAGTCCACGAAAAATTTGTCTTCAATATGAGTGACACGTAGTTTTGGTGGATTAAAATTCTTTTTTGGTTTTTTTACTATTTCCATTGTGAGCAGAATTGAAAAGTACTACCTCCGTCCCAGAGTATTCGTCAAGTTTGACTTTTTTGAGTCAAACTGAACAAGTTCTGAGCCTTAAATGAGTAAAAATTGTAATGTATATTATTCTGTAGTATAAAATAATTTTAATATACTTAACTTGTTTAGAACTTTCAAAAATTTATTCTTTTGTACTAATATGCAATACAAATTGAGAGTAATTGATGATTAAAATTTATCCAGTCTAACTTAAAAAAGTCAAAGTAACCAAATATTCTGGGATGGAGAGAGTAATAATCCTTATTAATCATGCTCAAAAAATGACAAGAAGATGGTCAGAGAATAACAACACTCGCAAGGCTTGTAGATACAACGCCATAGAGAATGCTCATCTTTTGGGGGTCCAAAAGAGAGCGTCTCCATAAACAACCAACGATTGAGTCGCATGTGGCACATGTAGTTTTTCTTGAAACTCTTAGACCATGTATGTGTTATCATAGCGTGAGGAGACCGTCCCTGCCTCCTTCATGTGGGCAAGAGGAGTACTAAAAGTTGTTTTTTGTCTGAATATCTAATCTGATCTGACTTGATTGTAACTGAATTTTTGAAGATTTGATCTAATCTGGTCTAATTTGATTGTAGTTATACTTAAAACTGTTTTTGGTCTGATATGATCTAATATGATTATAATACGAATAAGTAATAAGCAGAAAAAATAAGTTGAACGGAACACTGCCTAATAAGTATGCCCATCCGCCATTTTGCATTAGTTGCTTCTTGATCATTATGGAGTACATAGGAGTAGAATAATTATAGTTTTCTCTGTTTTTCTACCAAGTTAAGTAATGAGGTTGGTTGATCATTTGAAAATCAGTGTATATGAAGATCGAAAACAACACCCCAAAAAAAATCATTTGAACTTTGAAAAATAAAGTGTGGTAGAAGGTAAAGTTAATGCTCAAGATACACCCAACAGGACAATATTTTTTGATGAGTTTTTATTCAAAGCATGTGGGGGCAAAAAATGGTAGATTTGTTGTTACGTTCTCTCACATTAAATACTACGTGTGGGGCAAAAAATGGTTTAAATGGATTCCCATTACCTTTTGGTTTGAGACTTGTCTTTACTAATTCAGAGCACTGGAAATGGTCAAGAAGCCCTGGGGCTTCAAACTCTCTCTCTGCCACGTCAGTTTTAACTTACACCAAAAATTCACTGGAAATGGTTTTTGAAGCCCTGGGGCTTCAAACCTTCATTTTTTACATTTTTAAATATACATCTTCTAAATTTAAATTAATAAATTTAAATTAATTTATTATTTTAATTAATCGCAATGACACTAGTGCATTAAAAAAAATTAAATTCATTATAAAAAAACTTACATTCATAAAAAAACATTCAAAAAAATTACATTCATTAAAAAAATATTACAACCAAAAAAACAACAGTACAAAGAAATCGCTAATTATTCGAACGACTAAAGATATGCTTGATCAAATCCGCCGTTAGTGCATTGTGAATCTCTCGGCTTCGAATTTCTCGGCGGTTGCGTCGTTTCTTTTCTTCGGTGATTTCTTTGTACATAGGCACCTCCTCGTTCGGGTTGTATTGACAAATCGCAGACCCGTTATCCTCTATGATGATATTATGAAGAATAATACATGCGTACCTTATATTCCTCATTTTTGTTTGAGAATAACATTTCAACGGACGATCTAGAATGTGCCACTTAGTCTTCAAGACCCCAAAAGGCTCGTTCAATATCTTTTCTCGCCGCCTCTTGAGCTTTTTTGTATGTTTGGCGTTTAAGACCCATTGGTTCGGAGAGGGATTTGACAATCGTGGAATAATCTGGATATATTCCATCGGCCAAATAATATCCACGCTTGTAAAGCGTCCCTCTAAGCTCAAAAGAGGAGTCTAGTGCGGTGTCATTAACCCAATCGTCAAAAACAGGGGATTGATCGAGAACGTTGATGTCGTTGTTCGAGCCCGCGACACTGAAAAAAGCATGCCAAATCCACAAGTCATTCGAAGCAACAGCTTCAAGCATGATGGTAGGCTTGGGATGATCTCCCTGTGAGAATTGACCGTGCCACGCAGTGGAACAATTTTTCCATTCCGAATGCGTGCAATCAATACTCCAAGCATGCCGACAAAGCCGTGTTTAACAGCATGCCTTGCCTGCAATTGCTGGATGTCGCTCGCTGTAGGCTTGCGTAAATATCTTTTATGATAAATTTGAATAATAGCTTTTGAAAATTTATAAACACAGGACCTGATGCTCCGAGCCGACAACTTCAAGTATTCGTCGAACATATCGGATGTCGTCCTGTACGCCAACTGACGGAGCGCGGCAGTGCACTCTGGACGCTACTAAACCCGCGTCGGCCTCTCGCATCAAACCGTTGGGTGAACCAAGGAACCTCGCGTTCAACATCGGCGAGTATGCATAAGAAGAGAGGACGACTCATCCGAAAATGATTATTAAAATTCTCCGGTGTATAAACACACAGATTATTAAAGTAGTCGTTTAGAAGTGAAGCATGGGCGGCCGCTCGATCCCGGTTTAGACGTTAGCGTCGGGTCCGTCGTCGGGAGGATTCGACTTCTTTTTGGCCATCTTCCCACCATTGAATACAATTCGTCGCGAAACAACGAAAAAAGAAAGCTCTTCTTTCATCGTCGGAAGATGAACCTTTTTTTAAAAAAAATTATAAATATTTATAATAAATAATAAATATTTTAGTGAGAATATAAAGAGAGATGTGTGAGAGAGAGGTGTGAGAGAGATGTATGAGAAAGGGGGATTTTATAGTTTTTTTTAAATTTAGAATTTTTTTTTAATGGGGGGGGGGGGGGTAACGGCTATATAGCCGTTCGAAAGGGGAGAGCGGCTGAAAAAAACGAAGCAACGCCGCGTCAAACTAATGACGCGGGTATACTCGCCGGAGAGGGGCGGTGTTTCACGCCTCCGGGGCGTTAAACGCCCCTTAACGCCGACGGGCGTGATGAGTATACTCAGTGCTCTCATGCATCCTAAAATTAACTTGTGGTTTTAGTTTGCGAGTTTTAACTAATTTTATTTTCAATTCAATTTATTTGATTATAATTACAAAATTTAAAAATAAATTGTATATATTTAAAAATCATATCAAAAGTTCTTCAAAACTGGAAGTAACATGATTATGTTATTTTATCAAATAATTAATTAATAAAAATAAAAAAAAAATGTATAAAGTATGATCATGTGAATAATAACTGGAAATATAATTTCAGAATGGATGGAGTATTTAGTTTTCATTTTCTTTTTAAAATAAATTTATACACATTTCTATAAAAAATGGTGAAAAGTAGAAAAAATATATAATAAAAATTTGTCTAAAGCGGAAAATACTCTGAACTACATATTCACTTTTTAGAATGATATGATAAAAATGGGAAATTAGTTTGATTAAAACAAACAAAAGAAAAATGTAGAATTGAGACATATTTGTGTACATCAAATCAAATATTATCAAAATATCTTTAGAGGCAAATAAAAGAACAAAATTTTGGTGCCTATCTCGATCACTTGCAAGTAAAGCAATAATGTACTTTTCATCTTCTTTTTTTTTCTTTTCATTTTCACCCTTCTGTTGCCCAGTCATTTTTCTAATATTTTATAGGGAGAAAAACTAAAATATGACTAAGACATTGAAAATATACTAAAATATGACTTTTATGTTTTTATTTCTAAAATAGGACTTAATGACTAAACATGGTCAAGTACATTACCAAAAAAATATACTAATGTGCATATGTACAGTACCACATTACCACAGTGCAAAGTCCTATTTCAGAAAAAAAAACATAAATATTCTATTTTGATACTTTTCACTATATTTTAGTCATATTTAGGGTGATTTCTATATATTTTATATTCATACAAATTATTCTTGATGAATCGTAGTTTTGAAATATCAAAATTTTATAAAATATGTCTATGTATAAATATAGATATTAATGGCCACAGTGAAATATTAGAGACCATGAAAACTTAAATGATAAGAACATTTTCGGATGGAGGGAGTATTCAAAAATCATAAATTTTTTTATTTATTTGTAAGTTTTCATTAGTTATTTCATAAAATAAAATATTCTACTCACTTCTTATTTTAAAGAACTTTTGACATAATTTTTAAATATATAAATTTTATTTTTTATTTATATATCAATATTAAAATTTAAATTCTACTTCATTTTGCATAACGTTACCAACATTTTGGGATGGGAGAAGTACTTATTTGATTTGGTACAATTGTTAAAGAAAATAAAATTTAGTAGTTGATTGTTACAAAAAAAAGTTACAGGTGCATGCTGTATTTTCCTGCTACCAATTTGTAATCAAAATCTAATTTAACTTCTCACGGTGATCGTCTAACTAGATCAGAGGGACCTTCGAAGATGTGGTTCATTGATTAAGAAATGCATGGTGTAAAGTGTAAACTATATATAGAGAGAATAGTAGTATGATAATTGCTAGAAATAGTTGTGTATTCGTTCAATTTAATTTTTTTGAGTTAACCTTAATTTTTTGGGTTTTAATTAAATAATAATTATATTGTAATATTATATATATATATATATATATATATATATATTTCAAATTATTTATCATATTGAAAATTTTCGGAAGTGGGTTTGTTATATCAGAATTATTTATATAAGTCATAATATACTTATATTATTATATAATACTCCATCCTTCCTTGAAAACTCTTTCTATTTTGACTTTTTTGTCAAACAATACACTCTTTGACCACAAAGTATAAGAAAAATATATTAAATTGTAATAGAAATTTAATATAATTGAGTTATCTTAAGTTATAATTTTGATATAACAAATTTTCATAACATTTATTTTTTTAAATTATGTTTAATTTGTAGTAAAAATGTCAGTGTTTGACAAAAAAAGTTAAAACAAGAAAAGTTTTCAAGGAAAAAAAGATTATTAATTAAGAGTAATGATGATTGAATTTTAAAGCAAAGCCCTATTTTAAAATAAATGTAAAAGAAAATGTGATGTTTTAAAGACAATATATTGTCTTTTAAACTTTCAAAGTACTCTCCATCTTGTAAAGAAGTGTTATGTTGCGATCACATGATAATTAAGAAAATTCAGATTATGTAAGTGAAAGTGGTATAGCCAAGAAAAAATATAATCCTTGAAACATCACAATTTTTTTAGGTCTTCGTCTTAAAATGATAATCGGAGTTCATTATTCAAAAATCAAATGAGTTATATTCATTTGTTTGTTTTCATCAATTATTTGATAAAATAAAATATTTTTTATATCTTGTTTTGAAGAATTTTGATAGAATTTATATAAATTTTACTTTTGTTTTCTATTCAAATCTTTAAATAAAATAAATTTTAAAAAAACTAAAATTTCAATTCAAATTACATAATGTAACAAACATTTTGAGACATAGAAATTGGGAAAAATTATCTCAAATAATTCCACCTTTTCACGTACTTTCAAAAATAAACCAACTTTTCACTGTCACCGAAAATAATCCCACATTTTCGCATGTGTGCGAGTTTTGGATCGCCGTTAAAAAACTAACGGCCACTTAACGGAAGTTTTTGAAAATGTCTGATTTTCGCAAATAAATGAAAGGTGAGATTATTAAAGAATAATTTACTTTTTACTTTTTTAGTTTTGAATTTAAAATTAATATTTTTAAAAATATAATAATACACTCTTGTTAGAGATTTGTCTAACGATTAACAAATTTTGTTATGTTTTGGGAAAATATAGCATTGAATTATAAAAAATAATTCAGAGTATCGATCAAGAAAGAAATTACAATAAAAAAATTTCTAGTGATTTATAAAATTTATGGGTTGCCGTTTCGAAGAAAAAAAATATTGTGTCATTTTCACAACTTTTGAATTACTATTTTGGAAAAAAAAAATTATTCAATTATTAAAAAATCACAAATTGAGTAGTTCCATTTTAGAAAGAAAATTTTATTGCAATAGAAGATTATCAATAAATATTTCAGAGTATTCATGGAAAAATTACAATACATCAGAAAATGTAGTGAGTTATAAAAATAAAAGTTCTATTTTAGAGAAAAATTTATTGTGTTATTTTTCACAACTATTGTAATGTTATTTTACAAAAATAATTATATAGAACTATCGAAAAATATTCATAAGTTTTGTAGTGTCATTTTTTTAACGAAATAATAATAATGTAGTATAAAAAAATAATTTGAAGTGCAGCTCAAAAAAAATACAGTAAATGCAACTTACAAAACAATGTAGTTAGTTATGAAGTTAATAAATGAGCTCTATTGTGTAGAATAATTTATTTTTAAATTATTACCATATTATTGGTTATTGAAAAAAACAATTATTTTCACTCTAAAAACAGTTAAATTTGGTATTTTTTCCAAAAAAATAAAAGTACATTTAAAGAAATTAAAAAACGAAAAAGGGAGAATTTACCTAAAATAATCTCACCTTTCATTTATTTGCGAAAACGGGCATTTTTCAAAATTTTCGTTAAGTGACCGTTAGTTTTTTAACGGCGATCCAAAACTCGCACACATGCGGAAAAGTGAGATTATTTTTGGTGAGAGTGAAAATGAATTTTTTTTGGTAGAACACGAAAAGATAGGATTATTTGAGATAACTCTTACTAGAAATTATATGAATTGAAAAAACAGAAAGTTTTTTTTTTTTTTGAAAATATTCACAAATGCGAAAAACTTGGAAAGTGACTTTCTTTTGCCTTTTGAATCCTCCACTCTTTCTCTCACCTCATCATAGTGAAAGTGGGAAACTGCTCCCACAACGGGGAAAAGTTTCGGGTCCAATCCATCCATCAGTCAAATAAAGAAGGAAATCCCCGAATTATGAAAGAAACAAACCCACCCCTTCCCGTGTGTATTCATTCATTCTTGGATCCATCTTTCAACACCTCTCCATATATCCTAGCACGAAGACAACCTCCACTCTCTCTGTTCCTTTTGCTCTCACACAGCCAGCCAGTTTGCTGAGTCAACTCTAAGACCAAGTTAAACAAACTCCATGGATCTGTCCTCATCATCCCTTCTCCTTTCCAACTCATAACCTTCCATCAATCTTCTTCATCCCCACAACAACAATGTACTCTGAAAACCCCTCTCCCAAAGCCCAGGCATGGTAAGGAGATGATTATATGATCAAAATATATAAATGCAACTGTTTCCCTCTGGTTTTTGTGCTCATTCCATACTCTCTTTTTCAGGTTTTGCGCCACTGGGTTACCGAGCGACGTGACAATCCAAGTAGATGATATGACCTTTCATCTCCACAAGGTTAAGTTTGTATGTGAATTCCTTTCTTGGTAGCTTATTTCTCCAATAGTTTCTCATGGATTCTTTGTGTGGGTTCAGTTTCCTTTGATGTCAAAGAGCCGAAAGATTCATGATTTGATCACAGAGCAAGAGACGAGGCTGAGACGAGATGGTGATGGCGGCGGAGAGATTGAAGAAGAGGTGGTGGAGTTCCAATGCCACATCTCGCTGCTGAATTTTCCCGGCGGGTTGGAGGCATTCGAGGCTGCTGCCAAGTTCTGCTATGGCGTCAAGATTGACTTGTCGGCTTCCAATGTGGCTCTGCTCCGATGCGCGGGGGAGTATTTGGGGATGACGGAGGAATATTCCGGCGAGAATCTCGTCTCGAAGACGGAGATGTTTTTCTCGCTAACTGTCCTGAAGAGTGTCAGGGACTCGATCAAAACCCTCAACTCCTGCGAGAAGCTCTTGCCCATGGCGGAGACGTTGGAAATTGTTCCGAGATGCATCGATGCTATTGCGGCCGGAGCTTCTTCGGGAGATCCGTCGTTGCTCGGATGGCCGGTGAGTGACAGAGGTGCCAACCGCCCTTTTTGGAACGGCGTGGAAGGGAGTACTCGCCGGAAGGGAGCTTCGAGAGGCGGTGGAGCAACAGATTCATGGTGGGAAGAACTCGGTCATCTCAGCCTACATCTCTTCAACCGCTTGATTTCAGCCATGAAAGATCGAGATTTGAATCCGGATGTTATGGAAAACTGTTTGATTTCCTACGCGAAGAGAAACATACCAGGACTCTCGCGATCTGCTCGGCGGCCATCTTCGTCTTCCATCCCTACCGAGAATGAACAGAGGGAGATTCTGGAGGCCATAATCTCGAATCTCCCGACCGAGAAGAGCTCCATATCTTCTTCCGCCACTCGAATTCTATTCGGATTGCTCCGATCCGCGAACATTCTCGACGTTTCAGAGATCTGCCGATCGAGACTGGAGAGGAAAATCGGATCTCAGATGGAGCAAGCTACGCTCGACGATCTTCTCATTCCCAGCTATTCTTCTGAGAGCGAAACGCTATATGATGTGGATTGTGTTCAGAGAATTTTAGGTCATTTCCTATCCGCTTCAGAAGAGAGATCTGCTACAAACGGAGTCGAAAACGATGAAGATCTACACAGTTCGATATCTGCATCTGTAATGGTAGTTGGGAGATTGATCGACGGTTACTTATCGGAAACCGCTTCCGACTCTAATCTGACGCCGGAAAAGTTTTGCGAACTTGCCGTTTCACTGCCGGAGCAAGCTAGGCTCTTCGACGACGGACTTTACAGAGCGGTAGACGTTTATTTGAAGGTACTTAACGAATTGCCATTGAATTTGAGCAAACTGATAGGTTTAGAATTCGATTGAATTTGAGTAGAAATGAGAAGAATCTGTTATGCAGGAGCATCCATGGATAGAAGAGGCGGAGAGGGAGAAGATCTGCGGAGTCATGGATTGCCGGAAGCTGACATTGGAGGCCTGCACTCACGCGGCGCAGAACGACCGGCTCCCGCTGAGAGCCGTCGTTCAGGTACTGTTCTTCGAGCAGCTCCAACTCCGACACGCCATTGCCGGGGCTCTGCTAGCCGCCGACTTACCTGAAGACGGGGAAGATGATGCTGAGGCGGGGGCGCGTGTGCCAGGAAGGAGCGGCGCGTGGAGAGATGCGGTGAGGCAAAATCAGAAGCTGCGAGTGGACATGGATGATATGAAGGCGCGGATGGAGGAGCTGGAACGGGAGTGCAATGCGATGAAAAGAGCGATTGACGAGGCGGGTGGGAGGCGAGACGGCGGCGGAGGATGGAGGAAGAAGTTCGGGTGCAAGTTTAGGGCCCAAGTCTGTGACTCCCATGTTGGGGCGGCGCGTAAAGAAGGACGAACCCATAGACAACAATGACATTTTTGTTACAAAAATTTCCAAGTTTTCCCAAAGACATTATTCTTAAAGGTTTTTTTTGGGTGAAAAAAATCATTTTTTTATTTTAATCAAATTTACATTAAAAAAAACTAGGCTTATAGTCGCTTTCAAAAAAAAAAGACGGGCTTTTAGTCGTGGACCGTATTAAGTTTTTTCGAAACTATGTATATAATTATTCTTACCATAATTATATTATACTATAATCATACACACGTTTTTTATATAACCTAGTCATACAGTAATTATATAATTATACAATTATGGTAAGAATAGATATACACATGTTTTTAATAGCATTGATTGGCGTGTATTAAAGTTTATAAATAATTTTTATAAATATTTTTTGCCTATTAATAATAATCAGTTTTAATGAATTACCTTTTTTATTTAATTAGTAATTACGTCGGTCTACATTATTATCATTTTAAATAATAATCAGTCTTATTAAATATAATACTCTTAAATTTTTATCATTAAAGGAGAAAAATTAAGACTGAAATTACCATTTTTAAAGTAAGGAAATAAAAATCTGAAAAATTACCTTTTTTATTTAATTCGTAATTACGTCGATCTACATTATTACCATTTTTAATAATAATCAGTCTTATTAAATATAATATTTTTAAATTTTTCTCATTAAAGGAGAAAGATTTTAAAAGTGGTAATTTCTGGATTTTTATTTCCTTACACTAAAATGGTAATTTTAAATAATTATGACAATTAATTATTATAAATATAATATAATAATTATACTTATAAAACGTAAATTTTATATTACTCTAATTTCGGATACTTACCATTTTAACTTCATATTACCATATGTAATGACCATAGTCTTTGGGCGGGAAAACACAATATAAAGTATAGATTTCTATGATACATTCACTTGTTGTTTTGGTATCCATGATATTGGGCCCGAGGCATGAGTATTTACATGCCCAACGATCTTAGTAGTTATACGCAAGCACAATTTATTATAACTAAATGTTTGATTTCTGATAACTGCGTTGAAAAACAATAATGTTAAATATAAAACCTCTACAAATACCAGGTATAAGAGCACTGGCAACGGCGTGCCATTTTAGGTGCCACGCTGCCAGATCAGATCTGCCTTGCACCAACTCAGCAATTGCCTCGCGTTCTCCCACGGTAAGTGAGGCAGCCTCAAGGCTGCCATGCTCTATTTTTTATTTTCTAAATTATGTTAAAAATTTAAAAAATGACTGTACAGTTTTTGATTGGTTAAATTATGCCACATCAGCGTGTGTCATTCCATTTCTTTACTTGCCATTGTGAATGCTCTAAGATTTATCATTTGCCACCAATTTATGATTAAAATCTAATTTATATCCCGGCGACTGTCTGATCGATTTTGGGAGACCATCGGAGATGGATTTCATTCTTTTTTTAATTATATTTACATGTTCAACGGTATGGATAAACTTATGTATAATTAGGGAAAATGCTGCTAATAGGTGTTGGGGCCTACTTCCCCCAAATCGTGAGAACTTTTGTTTATTTGTGTCTTTTCATTGACTATGGCTTCGTTTGGTAACAGCGTTTTCGATTAGCGTTAGCGTTTTGGATAAAATTTTAATGGTGTAGATTAAATCTAAAAACGCTAACGCTAAAGGCTATCGTCGGATAGCTTTTTGAAAACGCTAATCTCTAACGCTGATGCCAAACGGGGCCTATGTGATGAAATAAAATATTCATGTCATCTCTTGTTATATTGATGTACTTTTTAAATATGTAAGTTTATTTTTTATTTATATACAAATCTTTAGATAAAATGATTTGAAAAAACTTAAAATTTTACTTCGTTTTACATAAAGAGTAAATGATTTAGGGACGGAAGAGTAATATCTTAGATACTCATGGGGAATTAGATCAAGTGACGGGAGAGGACTCGGGCGCATGTTGAGTGATGATAGCGTCCGATTGCTTGCGATTTTGGATTTAGGAATCAAGTCAAGGCATCGACCATCTATATATAAATTGAACTTCCTCGATAAAAGAACGAAATTGAACTTCCGGGATAAGTGGATAGAAGAACGACACAGGAGCTCCATGTTTTAATTCTCAAAATAAGAGTTTGTACTGTAGTAATGTGACAATGTATATAGACATTTTACAGTACTTTTTGGTAATGTATACGAGCATGGTTCGCACTATGAATACAATTTAATTTTAATTTTTGAAATAAAAACTTGGAACTTCTAATTTTATATATTTTCAATATAATGTTTTACTTATACTTTATTTTTTTCCTACGAAAAATGGGTACCAGAACCGATAGTCTCATTTTTTTGGGGGTTTCGGGGGGGGGGGGGGGGTTGAACGCTAAAAGTGGGTTTTCATTTAACATTTTTTTGATCATGTTAGAAATATCAAACAAGAAAATATATTTGATTAAGATTAATAAATATATTGTTTGATTATTATGTTGAAATCATATCCTTAATTGGAATCAAATAACCAATCAAAGATATTTGATTAGCTTCCACCTACCTTTTTAAATTGTCTCTTTATTGTACTTTGTAATATTTAAAGACATCATTTTGGTGTATTGTAATAAGAAAGAAAATCATGTGAATTCATTCTATATTTTTACTTTCAATATGGTATCGGAGCCTTCATTCGATCCAACGATTGAATGAAACGTAACTTTCTTCATCTACCATATAAAAAAATGTCTGATCAAACTTCAGAAAGCTCCACCACACAAGGGAGTCTGATCCAAAGAAGCAACCCGTCAATCTTGCACAAATTCTGAAAATTCTCCAAAATTTCCAGAATTTAGCACCCAAGGCAGAACCTATCGAGAGCTCTTCCAATCAGGCGTTAAATTTGGCGGAAAAGCTCAACGATAAGAGCTACGCCATTTGGGCATGCAAAATGAGATTGGCTATAGACGAAAGGGGACGCCTCAAACACATCACTGCCGCACCCCTCAAAACTGATGATTCCAAATATATCAAATGGAGGCAAGCAGATTCAACGGTGATAACTTGGATACTGGAAAACAGAGAATCGGATATTGTAAATCAATATTTCGATTATCCTACTGCCTGGGATTTATGGAAGGGAATCGAAGCCACATACGGCTCCGGAAAAGATCCCCTGCAAATCTACGACTTAATGGTCAAAGCCAGCGAGATCAAACAAACATCACAACCCCTTGAAAAGATCTATAGCCAACTTCAAACTGTTTGGAAGGAAATCGACAGACGCCGACCCAACCCAATGAAATGTCCAGAGGATATGATGATTTTTACACAAATTCAACCCTTTGCACATTCTTACATATTGAAGCTGTTTGCACTCTTCTGCCATCTGCCACACTGACAGATTGTTCCAGATAGAATGTCACTTGTATCACACTTCAGCCTCTTTGATACTGATTGATTCATAAAATTATGTGTACTGCCAGTGTCTATCAAGATTTGTAGGGGTTATTTCTCATGATAGCCAGTAATCCTAATTGTTTGATATCCTGATACTCCCATTAATGCTTGAAGAGATATGGTCATGATGAGTTCTTCCCATTCTTTTGGGCTGTCTAATTCCAAGGTAGTGTCATCACATTCTTTTTCTTCTTCTTCAACTTCCACCAAGAGGATTTGCTTCCTATTAGCACACTTATAAACCATTACATATTTTTCATCACAGAATAAATAAAGCCTTTTGTTGGCTCATTTCTCATCCATCTCTACAAGAAGAATTCCACCTTTTTTCCACCATATTTCAATCCCCAATATTGAGCTTGAGCATTGAAGGCATCTTCTTGCAACATGGCAATTTTATAGGCCTGCATCACACTCTTAGAAGAATGCATTCTCACTGCTTTGTTCAACTCTACCTTCAATCCACCAATGAAACAACTAATTGCATTTTCATTAGACAAATTAACAATAGTCATGAGTTTATCGAAATCTGAGAGTAAGAACAGATAAAGATTTGGGGTGAAGAGTGTTGGGGGAGAAGCAACAAGTAGGATACGACACCTACATTTGGTATCGGAGCATTGGTTTAAACCGTAGATATGGAGTCAGGAAATCATTCTATGGTTAAATTGACATCAACCAATTATTCCATTTGGCGTCCTATGATGGAAGATTTGTTATATTGTAAAGATTTGTTTGACCCAATTGATGTGGATAAAACCAAGAAGGATGACATGCCCACTAAACCAGAGAAGATGACAGATAGAGAATGGGAAAAACTGAATAGAAAGACCTTGGGGACTATCAGACAGTGGATTGATATTAGCATATTCAATCATGTATCCCAAGAGACTGAGCCACTCGAGTTGTGGAGAAAATTGGAGGGTCTTTATGAGAGAAAGACTGCTCATAACAAGGCCTCGTTGATTAAGAGGCTTGTTAGTCTCAAGTTGAAGCCGGGAAAATCTGTTTCTGAGCATACTAGTGATTTTCAAGATATCATTAACAAGTTGACTGTGATGAAAATTGTTTTTGATGATGAGTTGCAGGCTTTATTCCTATTGAGTTCTTTGCCAGATAGTTGGGAGACTTTGGTTGTGTCTATTAGCAACTCAGCTCCAGAGGGTGTGCTTTCATTGGATGTCATTAAATAGAGCATGTTCAATGAAGAGCTTAGAAGAAAGGAGATGGGTGTTGACACTTCACAAGCACTTGTGGTGGAGAATAGAGGAAGAAGCAAAAGTAGAGGACCTAAGGGGCGTGGCAAGTCAAAGTACAGGTCCAAGTCCAAGGATGGGAGAGAGCCCACTATATGTCACTATTGTAGCAAACCTGGCCATATTCAAAAGTTTTGCTACGAGATGAAAAGAGACCAGCAAAAGAAGAAAAATGATCATCACAAAGAGGGTGATGACAAGAATACAACGGCGACAGCTTCTACTTCAGATGATGGTGTTTCATTGGTTTGTACTGCCGGTGATTGCTGTCATGTTGATAATTCTGATTCTGAATGGCTTGTTGATACGGGGGCTTCTTATCATTGTGTTCCTCATAAGGAGTACTTTATTGACTACCGAGTTGGAGATTTTGGTAGTGTGAAGATGGGAAACCAGAGTTCAGCAAGTATTGTTGGAATTGGAGATATTCGGGTTCAAACCAGTGTTGGGTGCTATATGACTTTGAGAGATGTTCGCCACATTCCAGATTTACGCCTCAATTTATTGTCTGCTAATTTACTTGATCAAGAAGGTTAGAAGCATACTTTTGGTGAGGGTAAATGGAAATTGTCTAAGGGTTCTTTGACTGTTGCTCGTGGCAAGCTTTGTTGCACCTTGTATAAGACACCCTTGTGATCATTGTTTAGCAGGAAAGCAGCATAGAGTTTCTTTTCCGAGGAGATCCAGGAGAAAGAAACTGAAACTAAAGTTGGTTTATTCTGATGTGTGTGGTCCTATTGAGGTGGAATCACTTGGTGGTAACAAATACTTTGTTACTTTTATTGATGATGCTACTCGGAGAACTTGGGTTTATATGATGAAGCACAAAAGCGATGTGTTTGGCATCTTTCAGAAGTTTCATGCCATGGTGGAAAGGGAGACAGATTGCAAATTGAAGCGTCTCTGAACTGATAATGGAGGTGAATACACTTCAAATGAGTTTAAAGCATATTGTTCAAGATATGGCATTCGACATGAAAGAACAGAACCTGGTACCCCACAAAGGATCAACTTCAAGACAACCAACCAACCACTTGACCCAATTTACCACAATTGATTAACCAAGCACACAAAATCAGCAACACATCAAATAAACCACAATAAAATATGAATAATAAAGATGCAAACGACACACGATTTTTATACGTGGAAAACCCTTTCGATGTGAAGGATAAAAACCACGGGACTTATAGGGAGTCCGCCCTCTTCTTCTCTTATTATGCAAATTGAGGGTAAAAACACCCAAACTCAGTCTACAAGGATGTCACAGCCCACCAACAACAACATACATAAGAGGCATCAACAATAGAGAAGGAAAATCAGGATTATCACCCAGAAACGCAGCGTCCCACCAGCTGCGATTACAGAAGATCCATAGCTCCGATTAATGTGAAACTTGAACATATTGAAGCCCTAAGTGTTGGGAACAACCTCTGAAAATTTCAGCTCAATCCAACGGTCGGATCTCCGGCGATGATCGAATTTGTGCGGCTGGTCTGTAAATTCTGCACCAGCACCTTTCCTCTCTCTATTCTGTTTTTTTTCTCTGTTTGCTCTCTCTGCTATGTTCGTAAGCACTGCCACTGCCCAGCCCTTTTACTCTCCTTTTTTTTAGTCAACAAAGTAAAAACATAATTGGGCCCTCCACCAAAGAAAAAAAAATAGAACCCAAATGAAAATGGGCTGGACCCACAACAAAGAGGACTGATTATTATTTCATACCTTATCAATACAAGTGTTCCGAGCTTTATACAATAGCTAACAGATTAGGGCTAACAACTAACAGAATCAGCTAACAAACTACTCTCCCGTCCTAAACTATCTTCCCAGTTACTATTCACACGGTCAAACTTAAACTACTTTCTTTACTTATTTTCGCTACTTATTTGATAAAATAATATAGTCTTGTCACCTCTAATTTTGTAGAACTTTTAATGTAGTTTTTAATTATGTAAATTTTATTTTTTAATTTTACACCTACAATAAAATAAATTGAATTGAAAATAAAGTCAGTCAAACCTCGTAAACACAAACGGGAAGATGGTTTTAGGACAGAGGGAGTAACAGAATCAACTAAAAGAATCAGAAGAAGTTTAAGTACTACATTGACAAATGACATATGTTTTAGTACTATTTACTGTAAATTTCACTTAAAAAAGAGGCATGATTTTAGAGCGATGCTTAGATGGTCCCTAGATCTGCATTTAAAATATGGTTCTTCTCATATTTTTCATGGACTTGCATATGAATATTTTCTTTTTTGAAAAGACTCGCTTTTTTAAACTACAAATAAAATAAGATCCATATAATGAGCATGGATTTTAGATCATCGGAAGAATTCGGCATAATTCTAATCCATAGGAACGACAAACAGCCAATAATTTTGATAATCATGTTCTTACAGGCGAATATAACCCCATGTGGCTGCAACTGCATAATGTTCGAATTTCCTAAAGTTTTTTTTCATTCAATAATTCTTTTTTAATTTCAAACACGCCTTAGAGGCTGTTTGGCAACTTTTGAATCGGTAAGTGCTGAACTAGTAAGAGGTCTGAACCATTAAGTGCTGAACCAGTTAGAGGTCTAAACCAATAAAAGCTAGTATATTGCTTAACTATTCAGAGGCAAATGTCTGATCAATTCAGATAAGAGGTCTTAACCATTCAGACTCTGTATAATACTTAACCATTCAGAGGCAAATCTCTTAATCATTCAAACATCTGAACCATTAAGAAGCTGAAACAAAGAGTCTGAACCATTAAGTGCTGAATCATTCAGACATCTGAACCATTAAGAGGCTGAAACAAACAGCCCCTTAGACTAAACGAAACAAAAGATCCTTAAATGGAGGGATTACAATAACTTTTTGGCTACATATAGCGTCTCCAAGGACTAGGAGAGCTCGAATCACAAGAATATATATAGAAAAATGTCAGGGGTACACCAAAGGTGTAATCCATTTGTCCCTCACCCCCTCCTTGTCCACATAATTGGGCAAGAAAATTAAAAACAGATAAATAAATAAAAATTAATTAAAAATGAGTGGTGGAGAAGGGTGTGGTGTACAAATGGGGTACACTTTTGGTGTACCCCTAGCATTGCTCATATATATAACAAAGAAATTCTTTCCTACATTTCATCAAATTTATAAATTGTTTCTTAAATGGCAAAGAACTGCTCATCATCATCCTTGGGATCCCTTGTCATCTCGGTCACTATGGTTCTTTTTATCTTAGGTAAAACTTCAATAGTTGTCTTTAATCGCAGAGTCAAACTTTATTAATTTTATTTACTTATTTTTGTTGTCCATTTGATAAAGTAATATAATCATGTCATATCTAGATTTTATAGATCTTTTAAATTACCTTTTAAATGTAAAAATTCTTTTATACTATACCTAACTAGCTAGAGTCAAATATGTTAAATTAAAAATAAAATTAATAAAATAAATTGAATTGACAAAAAAAATTGAGAGTTATCAAACTGAACAAATACTCTCCCATAGAGAATATCTATTTTTTTGTGTTTAATTGAGCTCATCTAATTTTTTTTTCAAATGATGGCCATTTAATATTGCTCACACACGCGCGCGCGCACACACATATATATGTATGTATATTTATATGTATATATTTTGAATAATAATAATAAGGGAATTTCTCCAGTGCCTTTCATAATGAAGGGGCATGGATGCCCTCCCACAAAATTGCTTCCATGTGGACTTTTTAGCCACATCATTTTAACTTTTAAAATTGCATAATGGCCCTGTCTCTTTATCCTTATTTAATTTAACTCATCTACACATGCTAATGTCATTTAAAAATATTGTTTTTAAATTAAATCAATCATTCCGTTCTAAAAAAAGATTTTAATTTGATTTTTTAGGATCGAAATTAAAAACTTTGGCCATGAAATTTAAAAAATAATTTGTTGAATAATAATATAAATTTAAACTACTCCCTCCGTCCCAAATTATTTGCAACGTTTACTTTTTCAGCAGTCGCGGGAACTTTTGTTTATTTCTACGTTTTCATTGATTATTTGATAAAATAAAATATTCTTGATACCTCTTATTTCGAAGAACTTTTTCATGTAGTTTTTTGATATGTAAATTTTATTTTTTATTTCTATACCAA